AAAACGCATACGCAAATTGGCGTGTCACGAATCCGCCTCTGTTGTTGGACATTAGCACTCGTGGTATGTTGACTTTACGTCTTGTTTGCGCTAATGTTAGAGCCGATTGATAATTGAAGTCTTCTTTGCCATTAGACTAGTGTTGCGATCTGATTTAGTCATCGCATCCTCTTCGGAGTGAACAAGTGATTTGGGTTATTATTCTCTTTCTCCCTGATGCTCTAAAATTCGCGAGTACCTACAGTTCGCAGTTTTACGGTAAAACAAAATTGGTCATCGGATTGTTGTTTTGAAGCTTACCTATACATCTATTACAGATAAATAAAATTGGAGTGTCTGTTTGTAATATGAAAATAGCTTTTTCCTAAATGCATATGGAACACGGTACATATACCAAAGTAGCATTTTTTACAATTTCTGTCTGTCTGTTTGTTCCGGCTAATCTCTGAAACGGCTGGACCGATCCGGACTTTCACTGGCAGATAGCTGATGCAATAAGGAGTAACCTAGGCTTACTTTTATTTAAGATTTTTTTTATTTAAACTTCCACGCGGACGAAATCACGGGCACAACTAGTTATAAAATAGTTTTAGCTAGTTATGTTGCAATAACGTTCGGTGGGTTATAACTGTTTTAAATATCGTAGACATATAGTTTTTTTAATTAAACTGATGAAGCATTCAGTAATGATTTTTATGTAAAAAGTTGGCTAGGGAGCAGTTGGTTCATCTGATATTAAGTGATTACCGCAGCCCATGGGCATCTACAACACCTAAGGCGTTGCAGATGCGTTGCCAGCCTTTATAAAAAACTGGGTATCGTTTAGAGGAAATAAGAAACCATAATACTTCCACATCACGCTGTTTTTCTTGGAGGCTGTGGTACTTTCCCGGATGAACCTGCCTATTTGTGCAACAGTAGAATCTGCCGCGTGGTCCTACCCCAGAATTACGTTATTCTCTCAAATTATCCTTATTCAAAATTACTCCATATAATCTAGGTTCAACTATATAAAAAAAAACAGTGAATAACTAAACTAAATACCTGTCGGCGTTCTTATATTATCTTTAGCGTTTGTTCTTATTATTTAATAAAATTATGCTATTAACTAATCTGACATAGCATATGAGCAACAAAGACATTTGATTATGAAGTCTAAAGTTAGCGTGCATCGTTATTCAATCCCTAATTGAGCATTGTCTCGTTGTTAATAACGCTGCTGTGCTCCACGAATTATTGGGTAATAATTCATTAGGATTCCATATGTAAACAAACTTAATATTTCTACAGATTTGTTTGTATTTTTGAACTTTACCATCCCACGTAGTGATGTAGCTTTAGTGGAGTGATTTCGAGGTGATTTGACAAAAAGATAATACCTACGGAGTTTCTTTCGCCCATTTCTTCTCCGTTAGAGGAACCTCATTGTCTATTTATACAAATGACCGAATATCGATAGATGAAATGTATGTTTCTTATGTCGATGAATAAATTATTTTGATCTTAGTTCTGTAACAGCCGATTTACTATTCATTGAGCTTTAATGATGCAAAATAAAAGAGATGGTTTGATTGTAACCCAGAGTTCGATTGGAAATTTATTTTTATTTTATTTTATTTTAATTAATTCGGAAAACTTACAGCTATTAACAAAGATAATTGAGTGATTTTAAATACTAAAGAAGCCTTTTATAAGTTTTCACATTTAGAAATCTTAAATTACAGTTACTATAGAAAATAAATAAATACACGTAATAAAAAAAGAGACACGTGAGTACAATGGCATGAACATAATTATGGTAAAAATAACAGTAAAACTAATATTTTGATGTAATAATAATAATCACCATAGTTATTGTAATAATAATAATGTAAGTAGTAATAAAAACATTTAATTAACAATAGTAGAAGCAAATAATGTCAAAACTTTTTCTTACTTTAATATTACTTTACACCACGAAACCAGCGGTCTTACAAGCGTTAAATATAGTTGAAAGTTCAAATTTTTCCGCGATTACAATTTGTAACGTAATGAAGGAATGAAGTTTGAAAGGAAACAAAATCCGACATTACTTTTTAATTTTGATGTCTTTTAATGATATTATTATACATGATTCAAACTTGAAAAAGAAAATATCTCGTCATAAAGGTTTTTAAACGATCACCTGTGACACGTTAATAATCATGTGCCGTATTCGTACATTTTCCCGTTCTTAAACATTCCATTTACCGCTTCGACATGTCGTAAAATTACACACGGAAAAAATAAAAACAAAAACAAAGCGAGTCCTAATTTAGACAAAGCAATATTCAATTTGTTTACTTAGTTGTTAACGTACTTATTTTATGAAACAACATTATTGTTAGCTAAATATATTAATATTTTAGACTATTATTATAAAGTCATGGTTCCTGTCGTCGTTATTTCAAGTATGAATACACTTCGATACTGTTCTATATCAGTCACTATCTGATAAAGTCAGTTATCGTCGTTTAGTCATGTTATTTTTAAATTGCTAACGCCTCATACTAACATTCCTAAGACGGCCACATTAGAGACAATATTATAATATCTAGCACAGGCTATTTACAATTCAATGGCAGACCTTCGTGAACTGTTGTCGATTAGATGAATGCCAGATATGCGAGCGAGAAATGTTGCAAGGAAACTTCATTGCCGATTTTGGCTTAAAAATAACCATATTGATAATATGGTAAGTGCAGCCAAGATCGATTTACAACCGATAAAACAATTGATAAATTTTACTTCGTCAAGTTTAATCGTGAAAAAAGTAAAGTAAAGTAATAGCCTATACATGTCCCACTGCTAGGCAAAGGCCTCCTCTATACAGAGAGTATCCAGGGCATAGTCCACCACGCGGCCCCACTGCGGATTGGCGGACTTCAGATGTCTTCGAAATATATATTTTTTTATTATTTTGAAAATATGCAGGTTTCCTCACGATGTTTTCCTTCACCGCGGAGCACGTGATAAGTCAGCACTTAAAGTTAAAAACTTCATTTGTGCCTGAACTCAGGTTGCTCGAGTATATTGAATTAAAGGCGAGCGCCCGGACACTGAGCTGTCACGGTTCTTAATTTTAATGGTGACGATTAGAAAAATTTAAAATTATTTGTTAAGCGTCATACAACGTCACTTTGGAATAAATCAAATTTCTTTTTACCGTCGAGCTTAAAGATTGTTTAGATAATAAATAAGTCATAAACGCATAGTATTCGACAATTAAACACCAATTGACTTTTCTCAAGATGTTCAACGCCATCTTATCATTCGTAGGAATTTAATCATTTTATCGTATCTATTTGAAGTTTTTTTTACATTATTCATCGAAATGTTTGCCGTTCCATTCATTAAAGGCGTACGTTCTGAGCGGTTCAGAATTAACTTAGCTGGCAATCGGCGCGTCGGCCGAGACTGCAGTTAGATAACCTCGTCTTATCTTTTGTTGTTCAACTTAACACTGCCGCTGCCGCGGGTACCCTTTTGCTCGCTCGCATTTAAGTAGTATAAATGATTCTTTTATTTTTATTTTTTATAGTCAGCATTGAGTTCCTACTGATTGTGGAAAATGAATAAAGAAGATTCTTATTTGTGCTTTATTTTAGTCACTGTCTGGTTGAAGACATGAATCTTTTTTGAGGTTGTCGTGGAATTATGTCATAAAGGAATTGTTCATTATTTAAAGTAAGTAATAGTGTCCGGGCGCTCGCCTTTTATTACATTTACTAGAGCAACCTGAGTTCGATCCCCGGTGCCACTACCAATGAAATTGTTAATTTTAAGTGCTGACTTATCACGTGCTCCGCGGTGAAGGAAAACATCGTGAGGAAACCTGCATATTTCCAAAATAATAAAAAAAATATTTCGAAGACATCTGAAGTCCGCCAATCCGCAGTGGGGCCGCCTGGTACTATGCCCTGATACCCTCTTTACAGAGGAGGTCTTTGCCCAGCATTGGGGCATTTATAGGCTGTTACTTCACTTAATTTTTTTAGCTATTATATCTTAACGCAATTATCTGTTACAATTTGATGTATGTAATAAATGCTGCTATATGTAATTTTTGTAAACCTTTTTGTTTGTTTTACCATTATTTGATTGTTATAATAATTTATCAGTAGCATACAATTACTCTTTATTAATCGGAAAATATAAAAATATTACGGTCACTGTTATATCTACCTTGTACTGGACATTTTGAATTATCACAAATTTGTGTCCGCAACAAATTATTCGCAACCACTCTCACCCCACCCCACCGTCCGCCACAAAACGTGCTCCTGGCTACAGTCCAGGGCTCTGCGTGCGTTCTCGCAATGATTTGACGACTATTTTTGTATTTGTGCATGCTGATACGCCGCCCTGTTTACTCGACATTGTCAACACATCGGGGCGTTTTTTCACGGTGCAAGCGGGCAATTAGATAATGCGACGAAATTAGAACGCAACGCGCCCTCAACCGCCAACCGAATAATGCACGGCCACTGTCGTCGTGTCATTATCGCTGAACTGACGCTGCCAAATATCCGCGCTTATTAGAAATGCATGCGCCGTGCTACCCAAAAGTAGTTGCAGCACATGTGTCTGTAAATCGGCGTTATTAAAATTATTTTTTTTAATCTGCAAACGCGCGAAAGACATGTACATTTTTTAAATTACCACGGTCAAATTTCGAACGCGACCGCGGCGCGGACAAAGGCGCGGGGCGCACTCATCCGCGCCGGCGACGTTCGTGCGGCCAGATAAACAATCGAAGTGTGACAGCCGCTATCGCGTTTTCCGGAGGCTGGCGGCGGCGGCAGTGCCGCAGGCGCGCGCGCACAGGAAGCATGTGCGATGCGAACGTGCCGCCATGTACATAGAGCCGGCCGCGTTCCGCGCCCCGAGCGACGAATCGCTGAGTCGCGACGCCGACGCCGATGGCGGCACGGCGCCACAGACAATATGGACGCAGTGCTTACCAACGCCAATATTCGCAGGCAAGAAGGCGCCCCTAAAGACGTTTGACGAGCTGCAGCCGCTGTTGCAGCAGGGCCGCAAGCGCGAGCTGAAGCTCGTAATTCGCGAGAACTCGTGGCCGATCAACAGCCCCGTGCGCGCATCCCTCTGGCCCGCCCTGTGCCGGCAGCACCAGCATGGCAAGTCCATGCTCGACGGCTTCTACTGGGACATGGTCACGCAGGTCAGTACCTAAAGAACTATATTCTCACAGTTAAGATCCGTTGCCTTTCCGTTGCTTTGCTATCTCGCGAAAACGTTCACCAAACACTTCGAAGGTCACGCATATTTACTCTATACTCTCCGCCGCCCAAACGCCGGCGAGATATCGCGCCCCCTGATAACGTGCCGTTTGCGCCAAGGTCGCCGTGGTGTTGTTGAGAACGAAACTCTCATTCAAGCGGACCAACGCGGGCACCGCGAGATCAAAGCGCCGCGCGCCGCGAGCGACTCTCGTCCTTAACGTAAATGGCCCGCGGCGTGTCGGTGGCTGGAAATCGTTTGGCAAGTTCGTTGGGATCGTTGCAGCCGCGTACGTGACCGTAGATCGGCTTAGAGGAATTACACCATGCAAGCTCTGGTCACGTGGTCGTCGAAAACGTCCTACGCCGCTTTTATGTTTAGCACGGCACGTTAGCGGCTCTGCGAAAACATTTCGTAGATAAGATACTCGAGAACGATGACTCATCGTCAATGTCTCAACTATGAATAAATTAGTTACCTCTTCGCACGTTCGGCTTTGGCAGTTCTTTTGTTTTCACGCGTCATTAGTTTATCAGCGAAATTTTGGAGCGTTCCAACTCGCTTCCGCCAATCTCAAACACTCCATAATACAGATAAAATTACACTTGAATGGAGTTGACTATTTAAGCACTATGGCCGTTTTATCTTCGAAGTTTGATCTCAGGCCTTGTGTTTTCTTTAACCATGTTTCCAAAAATACCTGCAAGTAGTAATTATACTACTACGATTAAGGACGCGAGTTCCGAATGTTCGGATTGTAGCATTATTTGTGTAAAAAAAAAAAAAACATTCATCGCGAAAGCATTAAGCTCGTGACATAATTATAACACAATGAAACATTAAAAGTAATAAATCCAAGACCTGATAGGTTATTTTTCGAAATTATGTTTCTTTTGGAAAAAATTAAAAGAGTGAATTTTACGCGCGACATAGTGTTGTCATAGAAATCAATAACAACTTTTTGACATTTACTTTTAATTCCAAGTTATCTAAATTAAACCGTTATCTATTGTATATAATTTCTTTTTCACAAAAATAGGGTACTGGCACACGGGATAATTTTTTTTCTTCAGTATTCCTTTGATATGTGACTGGTGAAGTAGCGAATAACAACTGATCGCTAAACGTCGCAGCGAGCAACGAGCATTGAGCGGTTGATTACGCAAGCCAAGCGACTCGGTGGGTCCTTGTGTTCGACATCAACGGGCGCACGCAGCTAGCATTGCGGTCGTTTATTTATTTCGAACTAGCGACCCGTCCCGGCTTCGCACGCGTGCGATGTACTATGCATATAAACCTTCCTCTTGAATCACTCTATCCAGTAAAAAAACCGTATCAAGATCCGTTGCGTAGTTTTAAAGATCTAAGCGTACATAGGGATAGACCAACAACGGGACGGTTTTGTTTTATACTGTGTAGTGATAAAGTATATATCTATATTATCTATAGTATAGCGATGGATGAACCTTTTCTGTCAGTATGCGATGAGTAGGCAGTTCATCTAATATTAAACGTTGGATCCGGCGCAGTTGCCCTGCCAACCCTAATGTTCCCTCGGTAGAGAGGCAAAAGCCTACTCCTACTCTGTTCTGTCTTCGACCACATTTCGTCAATTCTACCTCTAAGCCAGCCTTTATGTGCCCGATCCCTAGTGCTCTTCTCGAATTATAACAGTTACTTTGTTTTGTTTCACGCAAATGAGACGGGCTTCGACAGTCTATGGGAAGTAATTAAATTGAACTGGTGTTTTTATGAGGTTTATGTGCGAAGAAGAATCAGTACAAAGAAAAACACAAAAGGACTATAGCCTAATGTAAAAACATTTCTGCTGAAAACATTTCTGGCAATAATTGATACTAGTTTGAGCAACATTACATTACATTTTGCTCTTTGGGTAAACGAAAATAAGTGTAGAGTAAAAATATAAATTCAATTTAAAAAAAAAAGGGAATTTTGGTTTGAAAGCTTTGGTAATTCGATTATAAACCGATAAAAGTACCGCTTTACACTTTATCTTAGTATGTTTAAAGTTTAAATTCGCACGAAACATAAGTTTTATTGACGATAATACTTATTATATATTTATAATTTATATAATCAGTATCAAAACAGATCCTCTTTATGGCGGTTACATTTCTGAAGCCTATTTCGAAATAACAAGTTTCAGTTCGTTGCGCCCATTGTAAAGCGCTGTTCAAAAACGCGACTCGTTATTGTTTTGTATTGTTACCTCAGACTCCAATTACGTAAACCGGCAAACTATTAAAAACTAAAAGAGCACAAAGCCTTGCCTGGTTTACGTTAACGTTACGTTCACATTAACGGTTGGGCTGGATCGTTTATACATTTTGAAAGGATCCTCTTTCATTGTCCGGAACGCAGTTAAAGCCGCTCAAACAAAGAAGGTGACATTTTACAATCTGTACAATTAGTCATACTTCCCGACAAGCGCGCGTCCACCAAGTTACTGCCTTTTGCCGCTCGTAAGTTTTTTTCTTGATCGAAATTTCGTTACATAGCATTAGGGACGGAAGACGAGTTTAAGCGAGTCAAGAAAGAGTAGTAGTAGTACACCCTGGAAAGAAACCCTGGGGTTCTTTCGTTCATTCGTTCTAGGTGGGAGGTTTTTTTTTGATAAGTATGTTTTTCACCACGGGCACTCGGTCCTTTTTACAATTGTGTTGATTTCACTACATAGTATAAAACAGAGTCGTCCCGCTGTCTGTCTCTCCCTATGTATGCTTAGATCTTTAAAACTACCCAACGGATCTTGATGCGGTTTGCTTTACTAGATAAAGTGGTTCAAGAGCAAGGTTTATATGTATAATACATTGCACCCGTGCGAAGCCGGGGCGTGTCGCTATAATGTTTGGATACTCTTAAAACTAAAAAATATCCCTTGTGACGTTTATTTACAGCCGTTCGTTTATGTACAGGACGAATTAGTACCTATGAAAATATGTAAAGCATATGTTTCGCATGTTGAGTGAGAAGCCAATTTTATTAAAAGGTAGCCACGCATCTGCAAACCTACAGGTGCTGAAAATATCCTTGGTCGGCGGTTATCACTTAACATCAGGTGAACCGCAAGTTAGCAGGATAATTATCTGATAATTATGGCAATAAATCCAATATTTATTCCAATCGTGTATTAATCATTCGATTTATTTCTGAAATTTGTCCCCTCACTTCCGTCAGTGTAAGAATGGATGACGCACATGGTGTAAGCGCACTTCCAAATGCGTCACCTTCCTACAGGGCGATCAGCTTACTCTCGATGTAGGCGAATTTATTGCTTCCCTTCCGGCTTATCGTATTACCGACACGGCGTAGCGTTCCTGACATTGTATGCATAAAAGAAATATGTCCCGTCATGTGATTCCTAGACCGTTTCGGTCGTGTCCTCATTGTCCGATCGTGAGCAAAATTTAGTCGTTTCGCGCGTATCTCAATTTCCTATTCATAAGCTGGCTGAAGATATTATTGTGCAACGTGTGCACTGATGGTGCAATAGCTTAGTAAAGTGTCCCGACAATTGCTGTTGCTGTTTTTGGGTTTTATTCCCATATGTGTTCATCGTTTTATATTTGTGACATCAGTGGCGGGAATTTTACACGACAAAAAAAAACAAACTGAAAAATGATGTTACGCAAATATATTACGAATTCCTAATCAGTGTAAATTCATATCAACTTTGAATTTGGAATTCAGATGTCTAAAGATTGTTTCAACTTCTGCACGCCTTATACCGCGAAGCGATTTAGGTTGTGCTCTACTCTCGACACGTCCAAGTCAATTGTTTGCCGTAAACTGCCTCTACCACAACCAGTTTGCACTTCTACGATATGAATACATGTATTTAAAAAAAAAACGTTTATGTGATCTATATGTTTATGGCATCTTATGCGTTATATGAGCTTATGTATTCGTGGTATTCGCGTAATAGAAATCTCGGCGAACTGAGTGCATTTAAAGGTATTTCTGTGTCGCCAATACTCCATGTCTTTCACTCTTGTGTAAGCTTGTAATTAGAGGCAACGATACATACGACTACGGCGACGTCTCGATACAAACGATGCACTAAGCCTTGCATCGAATGTTATTTTACTTTCAAATATTGTGCCATAAATCTTACGACGAAACACAGGCACGTGTAGTTTGTCTTTGTCTTTGTTGAATGATATTCTCGCTTACAGTTCTATTAAAACTCGCTTTGGGTTGTTCTACTAAAGCTTCATTATAGCATAGCATAGCTCTTGCAACAGCCAGATTATTAAAAGGAGAAACTCCGCGTACGGTAGGCCTCATGTGCTTGCGTGAGTTATCTACCGAGTCTTTTCAACTACGAAAATTGTCACCTACGGGCCATGAAAGGCGTACTGGTTGGTACCACGTATCTATTAAACTTTTGTAGGCACGTCCCCGATAAACCTAAACTAATATATTTAAGTATAATACGACCCGACGATTCATATCGATTTTACCCTATCGTGGATCAACTTTTATCGCTAGTGTTATATTATTTCATCTCGTTTTATTTGCAAATGACTGAAAACAATAGGCAATTTACACTGTTCGCAAAACAATAGACCTTTCTTGTTTCTAAAGATTATTTAATGTAACAAACTAAAGGCTTTACGGTTTTAATTGACAAGCGTTTTGATTTACGGAGTTTTTCTCCGAATGGCGTTTTGTTGGCAAGGTATCCTGAGATTCGCTTGATTGCTCATCACAAAGTTAAAACCACAAATGAAGATATTTTAGAAAATCTCGAAAGACTGATCTTGAAAAAAGTCGATAGCACGTTGTATGTGAGGAAAGACTATAACTAACATATATGGGCCCCAGTGCTCTAGTTAGTCGCAATATTTCTTTACAGTTAGAAACAATACGTCGATTAGAATGGACTGAACGTCCGCGACCTTTACACAGTCCCCCGTA